GACGACCGAACGAGCCCGTGTCTATAATAATTCGATTTGCAACCGTGTCCCATACCATTCGTTTCGAATTATTTTTAACTCCCTACCAATACACGCCGGAGGAATTGGATTCCCTCTCGCAATCCATTACAGTCTAGTTTCCCGTGTCTAATTGGCGCACACTCGCGATTGATACACACTCTCCGTTCGTTCGATCCGTTACAAAGAGTTGTGCGCCGCGTGTTCAACGATCGATCGATCGGTTTTTCAAGTGCGCCGGTACGCGCGCCCGACATTCTTCGAGTACGTTCACACAAACGTTGTCGTAGTCAGCGACTAAGGTGGAGCTTCCGTTTCCGGCAATGAACGTGCCGTATACGAGAATCGACACCGTCTATTACACGCTATATTCGAAAGCGTCTGTAGTCTTCGGCTCGATGAATGTCCGCTCGAAGGCGTTCATTCGTGTTTGATTGTATTACACCGAATTCTGTTTTTACGCGATAGATACGTTCCGGTAAAAAATATACTACATCTATGGAAAAATAGAAGATTGGTTTCAGATCTAAAAAATCAGCTAAGATAATGCAATAAACCATAATGAAAATTCATGTCCGAATCTTATCATTTTTACGTGAGAACGAAGTCAGTTATTAATCCTTGTGTTTGTGTTTTAGCTAGGCCATTACACAATTATCTCTAAGAGGCCATTAATGACTTCAAATCACGTTGAAACTTTCCAGCTCGTTCCCCATTAGGATCATGTTTGGCGAAAGGATTACCCAATTTAGTGGCGAAATTCAAGACCTTCGTTCAAGATCTTTTTATTTCTTAGAATCTGGGTCGATCGTCTTATATCAAAACAGACCGTGTAAAAAAAGAAATACATTTTTTTTCTAATTTGTTAACACGATTTAACAATCAAAATCGTGTACAAAAGTTCCTGTAAAACCAGTGTATTATGTTGTTTCTCTTTGGAATGTCTGTCGGACTATTCCAATTGTCCAGGTTAATTAAACCTTTCTGCTATAAATCTTTTATCTTTCTCGTCGACCAGTTCTCTTTTTGCTCCCCCCCCCCCCATCGTTGCGCGCGCGCAATCCCTCTCTATGAAACTTCAAGAAAGAACGATCTCCGGTCGGGAACGAATTACGAGAACCTTTATCCCTCGACCGTTAGCCACTTTATTCATTTACCGGGTATAATAGTCCGGGTTAAGATACAAAGGTCAACGCGCCTTCTGCATCCCGGGTCGGAAATGCACCGCTGGCTCTCAATTCTTTTTCTCCGCTTCCGTTCGAAACCGCTTGGCGCGGCGGAGGGAAGGAGAGAGCGGTCGTTAACAATTTAGAACGCCACTCTTTCAAGGTTATGTTTTGCGTATGCGTCGCCGTTTACGTAGCCGAGGTAACCATCGTCTTTTCTACGGCACCGATCTCTCGGAAGCACTGTAATCGGTCGAGTGCTCGCGCCAGCTCTCGTACACGTACCGAGAATCGTGTTATCGTCGTGTAATAAAATAAATCGTTAATCGACCAACAATTGTGTCCTTCCATCTTTGTGGAACTCCAGTGGTGGGGATATCGCCTGGACAATAATCGTGTAGAACAGACGATAATCGAGAGGAGTCTGTAGACCCTATATAATTCCTCTTGTTTTCTTTCTGCATACCGTCCCCGAACTTGACCGTGGTTCTTTGGTCCTTGTGTGCATCCACGAGCGGAGTGATCCTGATTAAACGGTATACGCTGTCGTGTCACGTTCGCGATAAATTGTTTTGAAAACTTGACTTTTCGGCAGATCGTGGCGTCGTTTGGCGAGCTAAAGGCGTGTAGAGTACGGCGCGCACGATCGACGAAACGTTAATCCGGTCACGAGCGACCTGCGCAACGGGATTTTCAGAGCGGAAACGGTTGCAGTAATAACACCGGCTAAAAATCCGGAGAAATGAAAAAGAACCGAGCGTGTTATAAAAGATTCGTCACTCCGCCGTTTATCGTGCTTTCTGGACGTTTCCCGGCCTGACGCATATGTACATGGAATCTTGGAGACGGAGCAAACTCGCGAACAAAGAAATCCTGTCAGCGTTCCATTGACCATGGGTATTGTTCGTTGATAACGATATCGCTCTGGAAACACCGATTAGTCATTGTTCCCGTACCTAATTGGGTTAATGCGTTCCGTGGCGAGCTTCTTCTCCAGCGGCGTCGCGGCAGCTTCGAAAGAATGTTGTCAATTATCGTGGAAGCCGCGACAACGTGTACTCTTTGTTCGTTTCGATAGCCAGCTGGGACGGAGGGCACGCATAAAAGAAACGAAACGTAGTACCAACGATCGAAGATAATTGGCGTTAAGTAGAGCATTCGGTCGGAGGATGCTCTTCTCTCCCTGGATTATTCAGGGTCGGTTGTTAATCGAATTTATTCTTCGAGGATGCCAAACCTGATGGGACCTCTTTCGCTCGTTGATGCTTCCTCGATTAACGAAAAACCTGAACCGCGTTTGATAGCAGGATAGGTTTCAATTATTCCGCGGGCGAGCTCTGGAGCACGTCGATTCCTACTCTAATAGGAAGCTGCATGTCCGATGAGTCGGCCACGCGCGTTCCTGAAATCGATTTCCATTAATTCGAGGAAGAGTCATTATATTCCAGGCTCGGGAGAATACACGGGCGTAACTCTCTCTCTATTCGCGCTGTTATATCATTCGATGCGGCGCGGTTTCAGCGCGAATATCATATTCCGTTGTCTATCGTGCGATCGCTGCGCGGCCGCCTATTAAATCGCGACAGCGTAGAAACAACGGTCGAAGCGTCGTGACGAGTAATTCGTAGCGCGTTACGGTTCTCCTCGTTGCGACCGAGTAATTTCACAGTCCTGAATGCTCCAAGAATTTATGCTCCACCCCTTCCCTGCCCGTCGTACGGTTGCTTTCCTTCGTCTCGAGTTTTACGATCACGATCGAGTCACGCTCAATCATCCACCTGTTTCGGAAATCTCGCGGATATTTGACGCGTAACAACTTCCACGAAACTTTTCAACGATTCGCAGTCCGTCGGTATATCGTACGGCGAAGAACATAGGAGGTCGAGGTCGTGTCCCGGGCCGGAAACCATAATCGGATTCTCGTTCGCGGAAAATCTTTATCCGGGCATTGTTTGACGCGCACAAAAGCGTCCTCGGGATGGTATGCAACGTTGTTATACACCGAGACCCAACGGAGAGTGCACGCGCGACAATTCGATACCGAGAAACCGATCTTTGCCCTACCCCGTCGGAGCTAACGCCTATCGATAACTGATTTCCGGTGAACGGAGCCCACGCTTGGGTATCGGATCGACGACAATCGAGACGATCGAAGCTTACGCATTCCATGCGGATTACCTTTATTTCTTCGGACGACGCGTATGAGTGGTTTCGAGTAACTTGCACGCGAACAAATCGATAAACGGTCAGTTTCGCCTCAAGACCAAGGTTTATAAAGATCATAAAAGTTATTATTGAGAACGTGGTCCTATCATCTTTATCCACCATCGTGTTGCGAAAAAATTGATAACTCGGGAAAAATGGCATTATGTATGCAAGAAGCCAATAAGTTGGGCTCACGGTATGGAGGGGTGGGTGGCGGTGGTCGTTCGGAAATCGATACAACGTATCGCTGGCCGGGAACGGAATGAGCTGGCTTTTACACGGCGGCGATGAAAAGCGACGTGGCGACGCGACGCATCGAAGTCTCTGGAGAACGGGAGTGAGAGAGTTGAACGTATGCCGCCGGTGGTGTCTAGTCGAAATTCCGAAATTCCAGACGCGCCAAACTGTTATCTAACACCCGAACGTCGTCTCCCGTCGTCGTCGACGCGGAGCGGAGTGGAGTGGAGTGAAGCGGAGCCGTTCCACCGGGCGGTGTGACGCTTTTCGCATTAGTCACCGCCAGGAAAGGCGAAAGGCGACCCAGACCAGTTGTAGGCGAACAGCAGAGGTAGTGGCGGCAGATATACGCGTATTTTGTTTCGCTCGAGCGACCACCGGGTCCGTGTTGCCTAAACAACCAATGATTTCCAGGTAGAACGAGCCACGATCGCGGGAGATTGCTTTCTGGGGCCTACACAACCACTAGATAATTACGTGACTCCGATTGTTCGAAAGAAAACGCGCGCGCGATGTCGACTCTGATTGTGTGTGGGCAACGAGCCTGCGATTTCCGTTCGAATGAATTTACCACGAATCTCATTTCCCCCTCTCTGCTAGCTGAATTTGATCGAAACGCCGTAGAGTATTACGGTAGGTCGTTAACCGAGTAACCAACACCCTCTGCTCCTGCGTACGAAAATCGTTGCGTAAATTGTCCCGAACGATATCTATTGAAAGCAATTGCCACGACAATTTATAACGATCGACGATGTTGCGTCGATGGACTCCATCTGCTATAGGCGAGTACTCGAAAAAGAACTGACCCTGAAAATGGGTATATATACTTATATGCACTTTCTCTTGGTGGCGCGCGTTGCCCGTGTTCCGGCGAGAGGGTAGGGAGCCCTTCGTGACGGGACCCCGCCCTGGAGTCGAACCCCCATACCCCGACGTTCTTGGCGAGCTCGAGGCAGGCAGGGCTGCCACCATGAGAACCGAGTCCCGGGGTGCCGGGCTCGACCGATACGTTCCTGCCTCCCGTCTATCCCGGAGCTCATTCTTTCTCCGACCGTCGAGCAGTGCAGAACGCAGTGGTAAAACACGGAGCCGTGCTCGGTTGCTCGGTGAACGCGTACGCACGACCGGGGACAAGTAATAGAAAGAAACGTGAGCGATACGAGAGAATCGCTATATATTTATTCGAGCGTTTCTACGGCGGAAAAGAATATTCCTCTTTAAGGAAGGATACACAAGTACACGGGGTACGACGTTATAGTGTTTCTTTTTCACCGATTTTCGGCCAGTTTGTGCGCGCGTTGCTGCATCGACCGTCCCATACAAAGCCCTTCGACATTCACTACAAAGAGAGAGGCGGGTACACAGCCGAAACTACGGTTCGGCGGGAACAAAGGAAACCGAACCATCAGGGAGAATCGCGTCGAAACGAGACGCGATCGATCGATCGTCCGGTTCGCCGACATCGAGCCGCGGGGATTCGCAATTATCGTGTCTCCTGTTGTGTCTCTCTGCCGACAACAGATCGTCAAGCTTCCCTCGCACAGGGGTGAGTTTCACGCGTCTGTACCCCTACGTTCATCGTGTGGAATCGAGGGATTTCCACGATCGTGTCTCGCGGAGGTGAAACGCCGGTGTACCTGTTGGTGGTGGCTTTGAGGTCGACGAAGTGTGTACAGGCACCAGGTTCGAGGGAAAATCGAGTGAGAGAAAGAACGAACCATAGGCGCAAGAGCAGCGAAGAGGAAAAGACAGAGGGGAGAGAAAGAGCGTGTGAGAGAGGGAGAGAAAGAGAGAGATAGAGAGAGTGAGAGTGAGTGAAAGAGAGTGAACGCACGCGAGTAGGAGCGAGCAGGAGAGCGAGCAATACGCGCTGGTGACAGAAAGACGGTCGGTCGGACGGACAGACGGACCGACAGACGGACGCCGCTTCCCCTCCGCTTCTCTCTCTTCAGTCGGTCGCGCGTTACCGAGCCTAGTGGATGAGTTCGCGAACGCGCTCCCGCTAAAAACTGCTCTCTGCCTCGAGTTCGTTCGTTCGGTGTTCCCTCTTGCCTTTGCCAATACAGAAAGTTAACCTCGTGTGCCTGCCAGTCTGCCAGCCAGCCAACCAGCCGCCTTCACCTCTCGTTACTCTCGTGTCTGTCTAGACGCCACGCACCGTGCTACACATACCCGCCACCGTCGCCGCCGTTGTCATCATCATCATCGTCGCTCCTCTCGGAATAATATATCCAGTGTGTTTCTTGTGGCGAGCCGCGGCGAGGGACCCTCTTCACGGGAAAATTTCGCTTCGACGCGCCACTCACGACACCCTCGACCATCGAGGTGAGTACCAACCCCCCCCGCCGTGAGTGTCGGGCATTCTTCGCTTCATTCCCCACTCGTTAGAAGAACTCGTACCGCGCGCGCCCCCATAGGGTGCACACCTTTCTTTCCGTTAACGCCGCCGCCGCCGCGTGGTCTTCGATCGACGACGACGACACTACGATGTGTGTATGTATTCCCATGGTTTTTGGTTTCCTCGAGAGAGCCAGGAGACGGCCCCCCTGGTGTCGACCGGATACTCGGACGAACGGTTAATTGGGCCGCTACGTATTCTTGTTGCGCGTTTCCTGTCAGGTATCCATGAGACGAACGTTAAACGCGTCGCGAGCGGGATTTCGAGCGTGTACCCTCGCGCCATTTTGAAGATGGGCACCACCATCAATCGATATAGCAGCCGCCGTGTACGAGAGAGCCGGCTTTCGCTCGTACTCGTTCCAACGACTCGGCGTCTCTCTCGTTGGATCGGAGTTGGTTCGTCCCAGTAGTTAGTGTGGTCTCTGGGCTGATCTTTCTACATCGTTCACTCGGTGGTCGTCGCCACGATCGGACATGGAAGCCGCCGCGCGCGGTCGGGATCGAAGGATCGTTGGGAGCAGCGGCCTGTTACGCCATCTTGATTCCTTCTCCCACCAGTTGGCCGGTATTAACCCCCAAACGATCGACCGTACACGCACGATTTCAAGACCCAACACACCGGTGACCTTTCCCTCCGGCCCACGATCCATCGGAATCTCTTGCGATCGGGCTCTCCTTGCTCGTGCTGCTATTCCGTGCCTGCCATTCTCTTCTTCGATCCGTTCATTCGCGGGTCAAGAGAACCGCTTCACGCGCGTCACACGTCATCCATAGAACATCGAGAATTCTTTGAAAGCGGACGCGCGCTGCGTGTGTGTCCCTCGACCGACAGACAGGCAGCGAATCGACTGGAGACGAAAACTTGCAACGGAACAGGGCTTTGTGTGCTCCGCACGCAGATTTAGCGGCGTCTGCTTGTTACCATGGCAAACGAGGAGGAGAAGAGTGGGATAGAAAGGAGATACGTTCTTGCCAACCCCGGGTGCCTTAAACTGAGGCGACGTGTCTGCCTGGCTGCCTACAGATTCTCCCTCTTCTCTCTCTCTTTTTTTCTCTCTGTCCCTCCTTTGTGCCGATTTTGCATAGCAGGCCTCTACCTGCCGTGCATTTAAAACGCAGTCAAGGCTTCCACGGAAGCGATTGTTGTCGCTCGGGGAATGGCAACCGGTGGAGAAAGGCCGAGAAAATGTTGGCCTGGCTGGCTGACAGGCTGGCTAGCCAGGCAGGCAGGCAGGCAGGCAGGCAGGCCACTCTCCGCATGCACCTTGGCCCAATCTTTTCCTCCACAATTGTTGTTGCCTCGGCCTTTCCTAGAGATTCATTTTCGCGGTGGCTCCTCTTTCTCGCTCTTTTCCACCGGTGTTGGGTTAGCCTATTTGTAGCCTATTATTAGTCTATATGCATCGAGTAAATAAAAATTTCGTATGCGTAATCGCATTCCGTAGAAAGAATCCTGTAAAATTCGAGTTACCTACTCCAGAATGTCGAAGCACAGACAAGACGCGACGCCGGGTCGTCGTTAACTGTTTTCGCAGCAGCCGTGTGCACCTGTGTTGGCAGATTGTTCAACGGTCGCGTTCCACGATCCGTACGCTTTGTCGACGTTTCACGATTCGCCACGCATCGGCGCACCTCTCCCACCCTCCCTCCGCCCGGCTGCGTCCGATGCCTTTTTCCCTCCTTACCGCAATATCGGCGGCAACCAGTTTCAGCAACGGCGAGTCCACGCCATCCACGCGATAACGGGTCGTTAACTTGCCCACATCTGCCTTTCTCTCGTTTGCAAGAACGAAGAAAAGAGCTGTTCCCCGCGACCGCCGCCTCGGGCAGACGTGCACAACGTCGTCCCGGAGTGTGTAGCCTCGAGAATGCCTTCGCGAAACGCCTCGGGGCTCTCGACCGGTTTTTCGCGAGAAAATGGCCCTCTGGTTCTTCTTCTGCTTAGTTTTCTCTCCTGTTCTCTCACCATACGATTTTCTTTTCTCCCAAAATACTACGCACGTTCTCGATCGACCTGTGTACACTATAGCCTCGTGACATAGGATTATCGTGCCTTTTTTCTTTTTTATCGGTGGGGATGAAACGCGGAAGTTTGCTGGGACCCATCCCGGCAGTATATGTATTCTCGTTCCCTATCTCTCTCGGTGTTTACACGAGTCTTTAGATTCGGCTTTCAGGGACTCTTGCACCCTTCTTCGAGGCCCATGCCAGCCCGTTCTCTCGGTGTGTTTACACGAGGCGAAGGGTGCACGCGTCCTGCAACCGGGACCAAAAATAGATACACCGCATAGTACTCCGGATATGCGTATATTTTTAAGCCTACTCCCGGTCACGAGCCTACCCCATTCTATTCTGTCCTGGCCCCCGACCCTATCTTTGCACCCTCCCTCGCTTGTTCGTACGTTCGCTCACTCACGGGGTTTGCTTTCCTGTTTGCCTTCACTAGAACCACGACTTTGATTGGTGGCACACGGCCGTCGTACACACGCACGTGTGCGGACCGGACGACGGATCCGTTCACGCATGCGGGACACGCGCGTGAATACGGGCCCCGACGATGCGCCGTCGTTGTCGTCGTCGCCAGTTCCCATTCTCGCCCGGCACGCCCGTAATTCTCAATTTCGAGAACAGTGGGCCGAGCAGATGTCCTTTTTTCGAGGACGAATTATTGGGCTAGGCCCTGCAGCCACGAATTAACCGTGCTCTGCCCAGGCCCTGTGAAAATAATGGACGTTTGATTGGGTACACTGTGTTGCGCGCGTATGTCCCCGTTCTTCTAGCAGCCGTGGGAATCGACCGTGCGCACTGTCCTCTCGAACACACAACCATCATAGGGGAGCCGGAAAAGGAAAATTTTTTTTTCTGCTTCTACTCTGTTTGACAGTAATATGTTTCCTTAGCCGTTAATGACTCGAACGAATATATGGCCGTGTATGTTGTTGACCCAGTGCCCACGTTACACTGCCACTACGGTTCTAGCGCATTTCAAAGACACACGCCAGGGGGAGGGAGGGAATCGCGAAACGCCCTTGATTTAACGCGACGCCGTTGAATTAATTAGGATACAAACGGAATCTACCGATTGCATTTCGGAATATTTTAACGTTGATGTCTTGATCGTTCCGCGAGCTGGACGCCGACCAGGTCTGCTGCACATTCACGCCGAAACCACGAAACAATGTTCGATCGGCGATTATAATCTCGGGACACGAAAGAATTTTCTGAGTCACGGCGGATAAACGCGTCGAAACTACGGTTTATCTTTATCGTTTCCCAGAAATTCGTTCCTTCTAGCGATAGTTTTAATACCCATTCCCGCTTAATCTTGCACCTGTGTTGTAGCACACGTTCGACGAACTCGGACTCGTCCTAATGTCGTTAAAGTCGCATAAACGCCGGCGACATTTTCTCTCGTTAACATCGTTGGAATTTAGTTCCCATACGCTGTCGTGACACCATCGTCTAACGCCTTAATAGTCTTCGACGGCAGTGACCCTTGAATGCGCTTATTAATCTATTGAGCGGATCTGCAAAAAGAAATCTCTCACCGCTGCACGGTTTCGTTTATACGCTCCTGTTGGTCCCTCGGTGAATAGATAATTAGTAGTGGAGAATAGTCGTGCAATTGAAATAGTAATCGGAATCTACTAGTTTAGCGGCTGCGTACTTTCTCTCAAGAGAGATAAATCGAATTTTTCCGCGATTCCTTACGCGGAACTCCAACGTTTCGCAATAACTATCGCGAACGAGATAATAAGACATAATCACCGGTGTTGATTGTATTACAGTAGCCTGGATTTCGAGTTATCTGATCGGTCAGATCGTTCCATGACTCAGAGTCACACGACTCGAAGTGTTGGTGGTGGGCTGTGATCTCGCCTGGTTTCCAGAAAATTGTGCCTCGTGCACCGAGTCGTTGAACCGGTGTCCGGTGAGCCTGAATCGGAGAAATAAGTGGTCTGAACGGCCCCCGACCGACTTCCTTTCGTGCTCCTTCTTTATCCTGTCATTTCTGCCGAGCAACGCGCAAATGATACGAAATAACGACAGTTTTCCAAGAACCATCGTTACGGAGTCGTCTACGTCGTCATCGTGCCACGCGGTTTTCGTATCCTTCGATTCTCGAAATACACGGGATAATTTTTTTTTTTTTATATCGACAGACTTTGAACGAACGCGCGACGATTCGCGGTACTTTTATCTCACGATGCAGTTCGCAACCGGTGATACACGCTAAATATAGGAACGACGACGAGATAAATCGTAGGTACGAGTGAGTTACGACAGGAAAGGCTATTTTTCCTGTGGGATGCTAACCACGCTTCTTCCCACGAGCCTCACGGCAGTTCGACACGTGTTTCGGCCTCTCGCCACTTAGCTCTGTACTTTCGATGCATCTCGGCTACACTAAATCTATTTTTTACCAACGTGTGCGCCTCCACGGTTGCATGTGTGCATCGCACTCGAGGGAGAGAGAGAGAGAGAAAGAAAGATGGAACAACATAAATATTTGTCGAGGCTCTTCCTGCTGTCTAATATACATACGATCGAGGCAAATTATACGCTTCCTTTTCCTCGGTATGGTTTCCTTACTCGCTGATATTTCATCCCGAGCATTTCTGGACTCTTTCGGATCGAAAAATGTGCAATACATTTGATTCTATATTCCTCCCTAAGAATAAAGTTGTAATCAATTCTTTGGAATAAATTCATTTCGATGCATCCTGTAGTTTTCCTGTACGCGTTAGGCTCGATAATAATTCGACGATCTCGACAATGTTTGTCGTAATTCGCCGGATTTATCATGGGGCGCGAAATGAAGCGGAACTTTTAATGGCGTTTTCCCTCCCCCTGGGGATTCGTTGGCTCCTTTGTGCGGCGTGTACTCCACTTTGTTCGGAAAATTCGGTTCTAACGGAGGAGTGGGGGGGGGGGTGTTCCATCGTAAGGGGTCGGTATTATGGCCCATTATTCTGTTACGTAAGAATAATGATAATGTAGGAGAGAAGGTTCCCATTGTACCGTTCGAACCGTTGATACAGATAATATGGACGTCGAAGTGGGAAAGTACATTCCAGTATCTCCTCGTTGATTGTTTCCGGTAATTCGTTGTTGCCGATGAAAATTCGCGGAACTCGATAACGCGTGTGCGTTGAAAATATGCAGCTGAAAAGCAAGCACCCGGTGTATTTCGATAGACTGACCATCAACGCATTAACGGAAGCTTGGTAAAGCTGTGCACGGGAACACGGAAAGTGCAATGCACCGTGAATAGGCTGCCCTGGCCAGAGAGAAGCCGGCTATTATTCTAGCGACAGTGATACGACGCGCTTTCGAGTCGTGTATTAACTTCTGTTTCAGAAAAGCTCGGAACCGCGTGTGTGCATCGTTGCCCACGTTCGATCAGATAGCGTGTGCCGTGTTCGCGTTTGATCATCCCCCCTCCCTTCCTATTATCAACGTACAGAAACACTTTGTAACTAGGAAGCTAATTCACTCTGCTTTCTTTCACGCCTTGCAGCTTGCTGTAATTGTACGATCACGAAATGCTGGATATTATATCTTTCACCCCGCTACCAAAGGGGGTGTTTATCTCTTTAATATCATGAGGGATACTGGCACGTATGTGTATGTTTAGTTTTTCTCTGATTCAAGCAATATTTCGAAACTGTAATTAAATACAGCGGAAGATTGAGAAAAATATTCTTTGTGGTCTTAATAAATTCGTTCCTGAAGGAGTTAACGTGGTACAATAATTTATCTTGTTTCCGAGCATTTTATAAATAGACAGTAGATATACAGTAAATCCTTGATGAGTGTTAGCAGGCTCCTCCTCACTGACAAGGACAGATTCCCAGGTATATCGTTGACTTTTTAACGAGGTTCAGCACAGTGATTGATTTTGGAATTCTGAAACCAATGATATTTGTTTCAGCTGCATATGACCATTAGTTTGTGAAATATTTAATGTTTAGTGCCGAGAAGCCTTCGAACACTCATCAAGGATTTACTGTAGAGGGCAAACGTTAGTCGGTCGCTCGTAGCCGCGAATGCGTCGTTACGGATCGTGGCTGCGAGCCAGTCAGCGGCGCGTGTCCACGGCCACCACGTGGTCTTTTAAACTCGAATGAATCGTCTGGTTTCGTGTGCGACTTTAGCCTCGTCGTCGTGCCAGTTTTTCGCAGTCCTCGCTCGAACAACGGATCGTTTCCTCTTTCGCCGTGGGAGAAACATCGGAATCGGCTTGTGAACCGTTAGCCACCGTCCACGTCCTTTTAACAGGTCGCAGGCCGTTTTCCGAGACGATAATTAGAGAGTCCAGTCCTATGAAAGAGCGCCTTTCTTCCTCGCGTTTTCCTCACCTTTTGTCTTTCGAAACGATTTCTTTCCTCGAGGTGTGACGTAAGTCACACGAACAACCGCGATTTCCGTTAGCAACTTCTACCGACACAGGAATCGAGTAAATAGGAAAATTTCTGATATACATAATACGCAGAGCGTAGTTTTGATTAAAAACCGGTCGGCATATCGGTGTTTAACTCGGAGGGATTCCTTTCGTGCCGGTTACAGGCCTGTTTCTTCTTTTCTCTCTGTTTCTCGTACCATCGCCTCGAAGTTCATATATTATTCATCATCGCCGGAATACCTGGCGATTTCTTTTGCGGCCGAAGTCGGTCTCGATCGCTTGAGGAATCTTTTAAGTTGCACCTGCCCGCGATGTTGTGCCGATTCACGTCGAATTCATAGAGTCTGCTATGACACAACTAAGCTATCTCCATCGCGAATTAATAGAACGCGCTCTGTGTGTGTGTGTGTCTTGCGAACGATGTGATTTATTTTCGCAATGAAAAACAACATCGAATCGCCGAGCCGTTCTCCTCCCGATGTTTTATCGAGCGCTGACCTCGAGAAAAACAACTTTTATGTGTATCGCAAGAAGCAGGCGCGCGCGAAGTTGCCAGTGGATGGTGGTGCTGAATTCATGAAATCGATCTCGTGCACCACCGTGTCCATCTCGGTCAAGGAAAATAGTTCGGAACGGTGTGTGCCCCGGCGTTGTGTTCCAGTTACGCAGACGTGTTTGCGTTTCCGAAGCTAGGCAATGCACCCGCATGCCGACAACTAAATAAATCACGCTTATCGGACCTGGCCCATTACGGTCGAGCGTAATTTGCGAAATCGCACCGCACGGGTGCATCGTGTGCAGAACTGTGCACGATTAGCAGGTCGGTCCTTCTTTTTCTATTTCGGCCGAATCGAGGCGATAAATTTGAAACTGTGAGTACGCGTTCCCGATTACAATTTCCTTTTCGTGCGAATGTCCCGATAATCGCGACAACCTGTTCACATGAATTGATAAGCAACCGATAATAAGTGAAGGAGAGGCTTTGAATGTTCTGTTTGCTCGAGATCGCGAATTACAGACGTACTCGTGGTTATCCTCTATCATATAACGAAGCTTTCGATAGTTTAAGTTAAGGTTATTTATACAGGGTGTCTCAGTATTGATGGTACAACCGGTGAGGGAGTGATTCTACATGAGAAAATAAGTCGAAAATATGGAACAAATTTTTCTCATTTAAGGCTTTGTTTTCGAGATAATTGATTTTGAATATTACTCCGAAACTCGTGTATTTGCCGTAGGAGTAAGTAGAAACGGAATGCAATGACCAGACACGCTAGCCACGTCCTATCCAGATGCACGCGTATCCAGTAGAGATTGTCAAAGTCGATTTTCTCGAAAACGAAACCTTAAAAAACTTATACTTATTTTCTCATGTAAAATCACCTCCTCCCCTGTTGTACCATCAATACTGGGATACCCTATATATCTACCCTGTGTAAATATCTGGTTCACGAGTGCGCGGGGATTCGCTGACTTTCGCCCGGTTGTGATTGCAGGTCAGTTTTGTTGGACGCGCGACACCTGATCACAGCATCCGGAGGAGCGCGAGTACGGGAGACAGGTGAGACAGAGGAAGGATAGAGAGGCAAACGGAGCAAGATGGGAGGGAGACAAAGCAGAAGGTCCGTGGACATAACGCCGACACCTAAGAAGGAGGGGTTACCGGCCGATGGAAGTGTCGGAGATGCCGCTGCACCTGGCGATGGCAAGCTGGAGAGGATCGAGGAAACCGACACGAAGCCCACCACCAACGGCATAGCGCCGCACACGGACTCGACCGAGGATAAAGACAAGGATAAGGACGAAACCACGGAAAAAGAAAAGGATAAAGAAAAGGTAAGAGAAAGAGAAAAACAGTCTTAATATTTATTCGAATTTTTTCTTGTTACACGCCCGTCACAATATCTTCTTCTCGTCTTAATCGAGAATCGCCGAAGCGATTCCGACACGGATGTTCGACCGTGTAATTGCTACCCGTGGGTATATAATAACGGAGATTCGCCGGAATCGGCCGGGGACATTTTATGCGCGCGGGTTTATGCAATCGCGAGGTCGCAATTACCGGCGACGATTCGAGTCGAGAGTAGTTGCAAGACGCGTATCGTCGTGTACCTACGTACCCTGCGCGTCAATGTCATTCAACGATAAACAAATAAATAAACAAATAAAAATACTCCTCGGATGTCCCTTGAGATCATAGTTTTGTTTCCGTTGTCTTAACACATTCTACGCCGGTCCCGTGTTATGACGGGATTAAAATGTTGCTAGGCACTTGTTGAAAGAAAAGAAAGTAGCAGAAGCACTGAGCTGAAAACACTGAGGCTTCCAGCGACCGAGATTCACCAGCGTAGAATGTGTCAAGCTGTTCTAACAACGACGTAAACTGTAAACGATGATTCACACGAACGTGTACTGCTGTTTTTCCAACGACGACGCAACGGTGCACAGTCGTCGACCGATGCGTCGTCGCGGCTTCCGCGAACCCGCTCACAGTTATCGTCCCGCGAACAACGTTAATGAATCAGCTATCGATCGCGTCGAACGTAATCAGCGAGTGCATTTCGTTCGATTTTTTCCCGGTGGAACTGAACCTACTCGCTTGTGACTCGGCTATTACAGACTCTTCTCGATTATTATCTGGCTTGTTCTACACGATTATTGTCCAGGCATGATTTCCAGCACTGAGGAATGGGAGGCCGTGGAACCTGTCAAACGCATACTTTGTTGTCGAGGCTCGGGTAAAAAAATGAATTTACGAAGGTCTGAAGCATTTCTCCCTATACGATTATTGTCCCGACGCGGACCCAAGTTGGGGACGATAATCGAGAAGAGTCTGTACATTCGATTGATTCATCGTAAGATGACGAGCAGGTAGGGAGAGGTGCCTCTTCGGACCTCGTAGACGTTGAAAAAACATGGTATTATATTCGCGTCGTAGCTGATTACTCTAGCGTGTCTTCTAATCTGTCTCTAGCATCGGGCTGCTAACCATGCACGTGCGCGTCTACACTGCCCCGTACTATTCTGAGATTGACCTAGGAGATACGCTATACGTGCTTGATTCGCGTTCGAGACGCTTAATCGATCGAAAAATTGAGAAACGATGTTTCGTCGAATAAAGTCGCCGAACGATAAGAAAAGAAAAAAAAAATATCAATCTGCGACGACGGGGGGAATCGAGACTCTCGAGAGGAACACGTTCATCTGTTGCGCGCACGGTGTCGACGAGATCCGAAAAGGGTCGAGAAGCCAAAAGCTGTCAGTGGCAGAGCCGGCGTCGAGCATCCAAAGTTCCTGTCGGTACTGTCGCTCTCGACGAATCGCGTAACCGTGTCAGTGTATTATCGTGAAACGCTCTCCAGGAGCTAGACGAAACTTGATATTTCCTCGATTGAGCAACCCCGACAGCCTGTCATGCACCAGATACGGTAGCACGCGAGAGGAAGGGAGAGAAAGAGATCGGCTCTTCCTTCTGCCTCTTGCTTTCATTTCCGTTTAATAGGAGGCCTTTTCCTCTTTCCTTCTCCTTTCGATCGACCAACAACGACTACAACGACGCTGCTCTCGGGGGCGGCGGCGAAAGGCTTATCGGCGCCGCTCTAATTTTACGTCGCGATTCTAAAAGTTCCCCGGGTGGTTACCTTTGCCCGCCAGCAGTCTTTACACACAAAACGTTGTACATACGTGTGTATATCGATCGAGTGGTTGCTGTTTTTCTAGAGTGCTCGGAAAGCTCGCGCGAGACCCGTGGCATACTGAATTTCCTGGAAAAATTATATTTTTACACGCGTAGCAGCACGCCCATTGTACTACTTAGCTATCGGAGTTGGATAGCGATCTTTTCCGAAACGGCTCGGCTGTATCCGTTCGCGGACGTGGAATACATACATGCACACGACCGTGTTAATACCACATTCGACGAATGCGAGAACGAAAGTGGTTCCCCCTCGGCAAAAAGGATATACGACCGTGGCTCGAAATCTTTGGTATCGCGAGCAGACGTAAACGCTGTATCAATTTCTCGATCTCAGCTTTCACGCACGAGCCGTGGAAATTGCGCGTTACTGTAATTCTTCTCGTGAAACGTGTGTTATCGGCCTCGCCGCGCGTTCACCATCGAGAATGTATCGCGATCGCAGGGAGCAAGCCGCTGGCACCACACGAACGGATACCGAGTCGCTGATACGACGCTGTATACCATCCCGAAGCGATTATTCGACCACAGAGGTTCTTGCGAGTCAGCTGTGTCTTTTAGCTTTTGCGTAAATCAAAGATCCTCGATAGTTGGACGGAATAGAGTTTTTCGGAGCGGGGATGATGGGAGATACCGTTCGAGTTTGTGTACGCAGGTTGAAGTTCCAGTCGAGATTGTACAGGTGGACGTGCGCGTCGTACGGGTCACGTGTTCTCGCGGTTAACTGTAATCGTGACGCGTCGCGACGAGAGCGTTTTTTGCACCGACACGCATACCTAACTGTCCTAGACGAATAAATCTTTTGTTCTGTCTTTGGCTAGTCGAGGTTATCAGAGATCCTGGATTCGCAGAAGCCACGAGCAGAGCTTCCGTGGGTAGTTACTTTTAGGCATGAACATTAACGAAATTTTTTAGAGATCCTAGGGGGCTTGTTTCGTATAAAAAGACAATGTTCGCTCTGCACACCGTGTGACGCTTATTGGTACTAGCCACGGCGATGTAATTAAACCTCTCAGATCTGAATTCTGAATTTTCTTTTAAGAGTAAAAAAAAAAAAAATTGATTAGACGTTTCACCTCAGTAACTGTTTAGATTGTATGTTGTTAAAAAGAAATATTTATATGTCCCATAGTTTTGTAGATATTAGATGTACAGATATGTGTACATTAGGACTCAAGTATCGCATTACACCCAAGAGGGACAAGTGAAAGAACACGGAGAAGTTCAGTATCATCTACAAGTGTGACCATCAGGTTTGAAAGGGTTATATGTACCTGTGTACAAATTTATGTTATTACGTATGTCTTAAGTTGTTATTACTATATTTATTTATACAATAAAGCCGCCGCGGATTAGTACCAATAAGAACCATACGTGTTGCAGGACACACACGGTCTGTCTACGCGAGACAAGACTACTAGGTCTGTACACTGACGACCAATGTCGCTTCCTCTAGGGGAACAAGCAGTGTAGGGGTAGACCTTCTACCGTTTGATAAATTTCAGTAATTCCAGTAATTCCCTTCCCCTACGCCTCATTTTTCATAAATTCGAAAAGTTCATGCCTAAAAGCAGCTTAACTACCTTTAGCAACTCCGGCCGCGAGCAATATCAGTAAAGATAGTTAAACAGAGAGACAGAGAGAGAGACGCAACGAAATGCGCACGTCGTCGTCAGCATCGTTTCGGATCTTGCAAAATCTCTAGAGTTAAACAGAGAGACAGAGAGAGACGCAACGAAATGCGCACGTCGTCGTCAGCATCGTTTCGGATCTTGCAAAATCTCTCAGGCGGCAGGTGCGCGCAACCACTCGAGACTTCTCTCGCATCGAACACCTGCCCTTGATACTATGCCTCAGCCTGCCGCGCGACGGTCGGCGGCAATCTTTTATTTTTTTCACGAACAGAGGATCTACGACGCTGCTGCCTGCCGCCGCGTCGAGCAGCAGCCAGTGTTTCACGAATAATTTAAGATATATCTGCGGGCTGTGCGGCAACCGAGCGAGCAGCAAGTCTACCTAATGGAAAGGCCGGACCTTACTTTCTTAACCTTGACCATGCAATTTAACGACGCCGATACACAGTACACATACACACACACCGATCCCTGCGTTCATCGCGTGTTCGCTCGGCCCGCTTCAATTAAAACCCAATTTCGAACGTCGTAAACGCTACCGAGGACGCGGTCTTCAGTCGCGCGTTATTTTCTCGGGCTTTTCCATACGCGCGAGAGGTCGTTTTTTTTTTTTTTTTTTACGATCGTGGCGAATGTATTCCCGCGCCCAAGTAATCGTGGCTAATCTCGAGGTGGTTCTCGGCCACGGCAAAAGCGTACGTTACCGAGTGACCTGAATACCAACACCATAACGCCCGTGTATAGTTTTATTTCGCGCGATAGACCGCGGCGACGGGGCCCGTGGCACGCGATCTTTTAAACGCGGGGCTGTTAACGCCGTCGATTCGTGAACTGTGTCTCGAGGGAAGAGGAGCAGCTTTCTTGCGTGAATCATCGCGCGGCGTCGGTACGAAACGACGCGAACCGGACTACTCGGTTTATTAATTAATACGAGACCACGAGTCATCTGTTTGCTTCCACTAATTAAAAGCCTGGAGATCCGCCGCTCGAATTCCATTCGAATGTGTATTCGGCGATAAATGTGTATGTATTGTGAATTGTATTCTCGCGTGGTGAGTCTTCGATACGAAAGTAAAACGACACATAAAACTCGACGGCGCGTTTTCGAAAGCCTCGTGTCTCGGTTGCAGTGAAAACGACGAAGGCTCTTCGGTCTCTACTCGAGGGAGAACGGAATCGATCACGGAAGGCTCTCTGGCGATTATCTGCACGAAACTCGTCGAGCCCCGGTGTCCTTGTCCACGTCGTGAGTTTGGTTTCGTGTTCCCTTCTCGGCGCGTTAATCCTTCCAGAATAATTCCTCGCTCCGAAAACCGTCGTTGCAATTGTTTCGCGACGTGTTTTCCTCTGTGATCCCTCCCGTCATTTTTCCGTACCACACGGATCTCGTAAGATTTTAGTAGCTGGCCGTGGCGCTGCTGCTGATTCAACGGACAGGAATTCGTCGCAGAAAACTGCACCTGCACCCGCCGGCTACTCGTCCTTCGCCGTGTGTCCTCGGACCGCGAATTTCTTGGTATTCCGATATTGTTCGATAGACAAATGGAGATTCTTTTTATCGGGCTGGCAAGGTTCGCGCACCCCTCTGCATATCAAACTCGGGATAAATCATTGGCGATCGATGTATTAGTGTGGTCGTGGGATTCTTTTATTTATAGCGCGCGCCACGCACTGATCAGCCGCCGTCGCGTTTCCATGAATATTTACGTCGCGAGAGTGTATCCTAGAAAAAAGTTATGAAAACCAAATGAGATTGTACGCGTCTAATCAATTACAACCGATTGGAAATGAACGAATCTACGCGGCGCGCGTCGTTGAAGAAGGCTTTTTCAGTAACTAGCGCGCAAACAACCAGCCTGACCGGTCGGCCTGCGTTTATCCACGCTGACCTCTCTCTCGTCCGTGGGTCAATCGGGGATGGCAGATAACGAAATCAAAATTGACGCGGGGAACGGAGTAGGGGAGTCGGGTTTACCATTGCTCGAATCTTTCGCGATTTATCTTGGTTAACGAAACGCATTCGCGAGCGATGCAACATCTTCGATGTAGCATACCGAAAGGGTCGCGATACCAACGAGGGAACTCGTGGAAAATTCTTGGATCTTGTGTTTTTCATTTGTAACAAGAGTTTTCACCATCGTACATTAATAAACAAATGAATAAATGAATAAACAACGAACGACCCCAATCGACAACGTGGTTCGGCTTCTTTTTAGTTCTTCAAAGCGGCCTGAATAATCCAGTTCTCTCTTCATTTTACCAGGAGGCACACAGACTACTCGGTCGACCGTCTCGTTTCCTCTCTCCGCTGCTCGGTATCAGCCGCGATACCGCGATATCCAATACGGACGGACGTCTCGTCTGGCTTGCCAGAACGAAAATAACCAGATATTTACATAATATAATGCGCGTTCGAGAGACGATGAAAGATTCTCCTGGTATCCAGGAGAGAAACAAAGGTGTGTCGCACCCGTGTGAGTAGTTGGCCGTGTGTGATCGAGCAACACCCAGGGGCCGAGTGCCCGCGTGTGTGGAATGAAACCGTAAATCGGCGCCTCGCCTCGGAGCCCCGCTACGCTTTTCACTTACGTCGCTGCCTGGCTGCCTCTACGGGTAATAGACCGATTGTTGGTTTGATTAGCGGCGGTAATACAGCCGGCTCGTTAGTACCCGCGGGAACTAAGTAGTTAACGGATGAAATGGAATTGTTCTGGTGTGGATTTGCATCGATAATAAAGCCCGACCGATGATGTGTGTTTACTCCGATCGAAGGCGAAAGACCCCGTGTCTCGCGGCGAAGGAGGCAAACAATACGACGTGGTTCCGGTTAGGTCGTATTCCATTAAATCGGAGTGTGGACGAGTTTCAAATATAATGATTCATGAAGTAGCATAATTCCGCGATAACGTATTCCCCCCTGGATTGTTGGTTCGTTCGTCACGATGGACAAACGGTGACGAGCCTCACCTCCGAGAACGACCATCCGATCGGCCGTATGACGCACACACAATCGAGCTTTCGCTCCTTATTCTTATTAATACCGACACGATGATAATGCTCGGGGAAGAATAATAACTTGTGTCGCGTGTCCTGAGAACAACGTGTTTGTTCCACGAAGAATGGAACGGTATATAACGTCGAGAAACGAGAGAGAACGAGGATTACGAGTTAACGTTACGTTTTTTCGCATCGCGACTTATACGTCTGTGGTCGCGACGAACGTGTATTCCAGAGCGGACGTAAAACGTTGTCGACTCGCCGCCGCTCGGAGGAGAACCACTGATCGTCCTCTGTAATCCGAGATTTTCGCGGTTTCATCCCGGTACGTTGTCCTGAGCCGCCGCAGCTGTTCCATTCCGATAAGTCTCGCAAGTGTTATTGCTAGCGAACTTCTCTCCGGCTTTTTCCTTTCGATCGAATGCTATTCGCGATATTTTTTCGTGTACAAAACGCACAGAAATCGCTCTGTACCGTTGATGTTTCGTCTGTAAGAACACGCCAGAGGCGTGGAAAATTTGTCGTAGAGATATGACGCAACTGACCGCAACGATTCGCGCGAGCGTGATCAAATGACGAAATCGTGACTCGAAAACAAAGTCTCCCATTATTTTTATGGATCTTCCGCGAACGAGAGGCGAGTTTTCCACGCTTCTACCGGAAAATTTTCAATGCCCTTCTGGTTCTTTGTTTACACACGGTGCGGAGGAAAAGATTGCGCGGCCCGTTTTTCCGCGTTCACCTTTGGCTGATCTTTTTATTCGATCGGTCGTTGTTTTCTTCAATAGTTCCCCACAGTCGTCGAAAAAACTTCGTCTCATGAATAATAAAAGCGATTGCTCGGGAGGCGAAAGAGACCGAGGGTGTTGCGTCACCCAATAAAAGAAAAATATAGTAGACACCGGGTTCGGAAGAAATCGTGTCGTCGTTAATGCACGATTTACGAGTGACGCGTAGTGAATGGTCGATGGTAAACAGTGTCCTGGATCTTACGCGTAAAGTGTATTTGCTCGGAAATTTTGTCAAGTCACACTCTTTACACCCTCCCCCTGTGCAAATTTACTTATCCGAAACTAAATGCCCGTTTCTTTGTTTTTTTTTCCAGCAAGAAGAGGTAAAAGCAGAGGAGACGAAGCAAGAATCGGCCGGGGAATCTCCCGCGGAAACGACGGCGGAGGTCACGACACCCACAGAACCCACGGCCGCCAGTCCGAACACTACTGCTACTTCGCCGGAAAGCAAGGAAACCAAAAAGAAGGAGAAGGTGAGAGAACGAGCGAAATCGGTATCGAATAGCAGTAGTCTGTTGCACGAAAGACGAAACTCCGGGTAATTACACGGCGGCGAGGAATGGTAATTTGCGCTCGACGGCTCTTGAAGCCGGCGGGGGTGGGTGAGACCGGGGCAGATTGTAACAAAAAAAGTTTTCATAATTTTTTCTCAAAAGTGTTTTCCTCAATCAGCAAAAAGCAAAAATTTAAACGGTTTCTGATGGTGGTTAATTGAAATAAAACAGACAATATTTACTTACGTACTTCAAATAATAAAAATCTAACCTGTAGTTATAAAACAGACACTTTCAAATTTGTTCCAAATTTGTCGTTCAGAAAATTTTGACTATGTTACAACTTACCCCGTATTACAAACTGCCCCGGTTTCCCCTAGCACACAACTCGATACATACCTGCATTCGGTAAGTGCAATAAGTTCGTATGCGTGTGCGGTTTAACCTGCTGCTGCGTGCACGCGTTTTAGAACAATAAGACAGACACATGCACGTAGTTTGCGCGTAATGAGAGAGTACTCCGATGATTATCGATGCCGTTTCCTCGTTCATAGATGAAGAAAAAGTGGTCCTTCAGGTCGATCAGCTTCAGCAAGAAGGACAAGAATAAGCCGGCCCGCGAAGAAGCGCCCAAGAATGGAGATGTCACCAAGGAGGAAATTCTCACAGAGGTGAGTAAGGGATATCTTACCTTATCCGATCTACGTGTACGGAGTTCTTTTTTTTTTTTCTTGCGTCGCAGTAGGAGACGTGTACGCGACGACGCAAAGAAAGATCTTGTCCTCGAACGTCAACCGAGATTCCGTTAATTGTGTCATCCGATGTTTTCTTTCGTTCGAGAGAGCAACGGGGCGCACACTATCGATATAGTTCATTGGTTGCGATTGATGGTCGACAGCAACGCAAAACCAAACGAAAAACTGTCGTCGGGAGCACGACCATTATCTGTCTGTATCACGCTCGTAACGTGTGATACACCGCGTGCTGTTTTTTAACGCGTATATGTACACACATGCACAAGAGGAACTGTTTCCCGATTTGAATACGAAATAAAGGAACCACCACCAAAGGGATGGTCCAACTGTTGCTTCGAGCAACGGTTCCGTTGATTTATCGCCTCGGTTTGTAAAGAACCTATCGTCGCGAACCCATATATAATTCACCTCTCCGTTTGCTTACCGATCGATTAACCGGCTTAGACCAGCTCTCGGTGTGTCGAGAAATAATGGAAGCGGGGGTCGCGCGCGGAACGATGGCGAAACCGCAGAGCGTTAACGCGCTGCCCCGTTCGAGCGTGATTTGTGCTCTCTTCGATTTCAAGCAATCGACCTACCTGCCTGCCGGTATAATCGAGAACGACCACGCGATAACCGTCACGGATCGAAAGCTCCGCGCCGGTGTTTAATTGGCCTCGAGACGTCCAATAAATCCTTCGGGCCTGGCGGTGATTATCAGAGATTTATATTTAAGAAAAATGATAAGCGTATACCGGAACGATCCGTGCGTTAACAAAGTCAATTATAATATCTGGCCGCGATTCCAAACTTTTTCCCCTTTTTCATATATATTTATAGCCGTGCGCGTGTAGTTTTGATTGCAGCTCGATGGGCATCGGCAACAGGGAGGTTGTTAAACGTCGTCTCGCGTCTCCGTAGTTATCGTTAGAGAGTGTAAGGTTTCGATTTCAATACCCTTCACGCGGTAGCCCAAGTCCGTGCTCTATCGCCGATTGAAATCTTCGTTGGACCATCGATCTTTCTCGTGTAACGCAATTAACGAGACCAGCGTGCCCGAGTGAAATCACTGGGGACTCGAGAACTTGCATTAGCTGATGGATCGACATAGAGAGGTGTCAGCTGATCTTCGAATTCCGCAGGAAATAGAAGTGAACACACTGTAAGCACAGTTCGTTTCGGGAACGTCGCTATAAATCCGCTCGCAAGAGTGTACGTATAATAAGTAGCGAGGTCGCCCGCCTGTCTCATTTTTCTCGTTCCTCCCAATGGCTGTGTCGACCCTAGCCCCGTGTGTAGGCGAACCGTAGCCCCGAGATCGTCAGGGCTAATCCTCCTCGTTTCTTTACCACCTTCTTCATCTTCCTCCACCTCGTCTCTGTCTGTCGTTCGACCAGCACACCGCAGATTCCCTTTCTTTTTCTGCAAGCTCACCGCGACAGAGGGAAGAGTGGGAAGGGCGAACAGGCCGTGACTCATCCTTCTGGTTCGTCGTACCTCTCGCGAGTTTCGTGATAGGCCGCCATGGAAAACCGGCTTCGAGTCACTGAATTATCCCCCTCGGGTTCCCTGTTGCCGCTTCAGGGCTATTCCTTGTGTTGTCTCCTCTCGGCTGTGCGTCTCCCCTCGTTCTTCCAGAACACGTAATCGCCCTCCTCGTCGTCGTCGTCTCCGCTTTCGCGGCCGTGATCCAAGGATCAAATAAGTCGTACGTAGCTGTCCATCGGGGCGGTGTTCGTAAAATCGACTCCTCCTCGGGTCTCGTGTGTCGCTCGGATGGAGCGGTACACCGGCTGCGGTTGAAAATTTTGTGCTCGATTGCCAAGACACAATTCGAGACTAACGAGTCACTCCGTACACGGACCTTAACCCTTATCCGCCCCTCATTTTCCTAATTTAATTTTTCCCTCGGTGTTAAATTGACACGGTGGTGAAAATTGATATAACGAAGAGATAAACAGTTAAATTTGCAATTTCTCTAAAATAAACGTCACCGAGTTTCAGCCTGAATTAATACACCAACCTACCCTACAAAATGACGAAGGTGTTCCGTTCAAAATTCAGGCGTTATGAAGTGTTCCGTCGTAGGAAAAGTTTGGGAAACGCTGGTCTAGGCATATCGTCGAGAAGTCCTCGGTAGCATATCGCGCGGACTATGATCATCGCGACTTTCACTCTCCCTTCGAATAGCCGGCATTCCGGGTCATTAAAGAACCTGTGAGTATATTGCTCTGTGAGTGTGTGCCGCAACGAGGCCTCGTAATAGCGAAGATGTCATTGTGCCCGGTGCAGCGTGTTATGACACCGACGCGAAGAACGAATGACTTATTGCTCTCCGCCTTGTTATCCCGTATTTCATGCGGAGAGAACACCGCGCATCGTCCATACCGTCCAGTCTCCTCCCCCAGCTCTGGCCTCTCATCTTCGTGTTCCGTTAAAACGTTGGATCGTTGAACGCTGCCGCCGTTCTCCCGACTCGTTTTCCACTGTTCACCTATTGCACGCGTCTGTGGGGCTCCGAACAGATTCGAACGGCCTCTCCCTGGCGCGTGGATCGTCGTTGTCGTCTTTGCTGCCTCGGATTTGCGTGTGCGGACCTTTTTTACAGACGCGGGATACGACTACGCGCGCGTGACGTAGAAGACTTGTGCACGGTTCGAAGAGGAGAATGGGAGTGGTGGTGTATATTCTCCGAAGGGGACCCTCCTGCGACACGTGGAATTATAATCTTCGAAGACGAACGATCCTTGCCTTTCGATCCCCTGTCTCCTCGATTAAGGGGGTATTCTCGAGGTCTCTCGCTGTTGCTTAGTATACGGGCCCAAGAAATTTGTGGGTTCGGTTTTTGAAACGAAGGAAGAGAGCAATTATAAGCCATGCGCACGTTCCCAGAGGTGTGTAACGCATCGACTCGATTTCCTACGGGAAATGAGACGTATCTGTCAGAGAAATCGGTAACGGGGACTGCTCGACGCTCGTTCTACTGCACTGTGCTTCTGCTCGCTCATTGTGCCGACTGACAACACGGTTCAATGGCCCAAACTTCCCGGATACGGTTACCTACGCGGCGCGTTATTTGTCGCGAAAATGCCTCGGTCGGTCGAGCCCCGTATTGTCGAGATTCGCCGTTGCGAGTGTCGTTGCCCGACGACGATCCTCGACACACCCGTTAGATAACGCCGTGTCCGTATCGACGATCAGATTTGCGTCTTCTCGTACCTCCTACTCCTCGCAGTTCATTCACCGGGGCGAAGTGTCTAGAGTCGCAATCGCCGCGCGCGCACTATCTAGCTGCCAAGTCTGCGCCTGAAAAAGGTCCCTGTCCGGCTGTTAGCAGCGCAGCCAACGCATTAATAGTTCACCGTCACACTACATACGTATACCTCTTCCGATGTGTATTTCGACCACTGATAGCGATAGTCACAAGTCGGAAACGTGTGATTTTTCATATATTAAACAAAGTGAAACTAGCACTATGTCGCTTGAAGTATTGGACTTCAACTTGTGACATTTTTCTGAACGGTGGAACTACGCTTTGGAAGATATTGTATGCGATAAAATGAAAATTGACTATTCCTGACTCGTGACACTTTTTTCGCGGCGATGCTTTCAAAAGAACAGACGATTCCTACTATGTCTGCGGCGCTTTTTCATTTTACTCTCGACTGTGGGAATCGAGGCAGATTACAACGCGCTTCGACTGACACACATGTAATCCCTTCTCGTTTCGAATATCCCGTTGCTCACGCCAGAAATTAATGCAGCGACTGTACACATATACATAAGTGTGTGTACGTACCTACCTCGTTCGCGAGAATATCGCGAGGGAATCTGTTTCGCAAGGTTCAGCGCGGTTACATCGCCGGACCTCGTGCGTGCGCTATCTCTCCAGCTCGCGACTGCAATGTCACCCGTGATAAGGGCGCGGTTCGCGTTAAAAATAACAAGCCTCCTTATTTATTATTCGCCCAGAGAACGAGTAATTTGCGCGACGACATAAATTCGCGTAATCGAGTCTTGCGTATCGTGCCTATTCAGGATGGGTATATACAGCGGCTGGTCGCGCGCGCCACGGCTTTCCGCTCTAACATTTTATGCGATCGTAAACAAGTTCGTAACGGCCACGGGAAAACGCGTAGGAAGGGCAAGCAAGCTGGCAGGCAGGACCGCGGAGGGTAGCGTTTCTATTACGGACCTATTCCTCTTCCTTCGCCCCTTTTCGTACATTTGTGAAACGCGTGTATGGCCTTCCGCTCGAATTTTATTTCGTCCGCGTGTTTTTACCTCGAAGACGATCGAATGTTTATTATTAATTTTTTCAACAACGAAGGCCTATGTGGCGAAACCCCACTAGGGTTTGTTTCTGCATAGTTTATACTTTAAGTGAGAAGAGTTTGAACCAAATCTGTGATATACATTTGGAGTCCTCTCCTTGTAAGTCTCCGGAGATCTCGCAAACAGACGGACGATCGGGTCAAAAGCAAATCCCCTCGATGGCTGCTAGAGGAAGCTGGCTCGTCGTCTGAAGAGCGTCTTCTATCGATGAAGCAAAGATTGCGAGATGAGAGTCGCAGCCGAGGGAGAATGAGAGAGAGAAGGAGAGGGTGGAGCAGACAGATGGATCGCTCGAGAGTTTTTTTCGCCGGCTTGAGTTCCCGGTTTTCGCACCTACGCGAATGTGTCACATTGTTTGCATGCACATCCACCCTCGCGCTCGAAGAGAGAGAGACCCTGTTAGAAGGGGTGTGGTCGCGGTTCGTTCTTTGTTCCCTTTTACTCGACTCTCGCTGGCTGCGGAACAGTTCCCGTGTATACGTCGCCGTCGTGTGGCGTCGACGGACTTTTTATTCTAAAGAGTTGGAAAAAGGAGATAGAGAAAAAGGGTGAGGATTTCGCACGGCCAGAGTGGTATTAATTACCACCGACATAGTACGCGC